TGCCAGCCAATGGGGCAGCCACTGGCCTTAGCACCGTGAACACTGTCCTATCAAAAAGGAACACAAACCCCAGCTGCTGTTAGTTGATCCTAACACGGGCTGCCTTCCAGTGGGATTCCAAGGCTGTAAACCCTTGTGGAGACAAGCTGCTGGTTCCTCTTTATCCTGCAGCTGGTGGATTCAAACCATCAACCTTTTGGTTAGAAGCCCAACATTAACCCACTTGGCCACCAGGGCTCCTTTAAAATACATGACTAAGGGAGTTCTGGTCGCTCAGTGGCAAGAAGCTGTGCTGCAACCCTGAAGGTGCGAGGTTCGAATCCACCAGATTCTCTGCTGGAGGAGGGACAGTCTCTTCCTGTGCCCGTCAGAACTGATGCAACAGTGGTGTTGTCAAGTGCCGCTGAGTCGTAGGCGACTCACAGCGACTCTGTGAACCAAAGTCTTTGACACTTGTGTGCGTGACTTTCGTCCTTTCTCCAGGTTCATAGTGTTTCCGGAGGCAAGCTATTTACGGAAGTGGATGCCACTCCTGCTTCCAAGCTTGCTTTAGCTGGTTAAAACAAGCTTGGATGCAATAGTACATAAAATAAAAAAACACCAAAACACATTACTAAACCCAGCTCGCTGGCATAGAGCCAGAAGCGACTCCCAACTGACCCTTCATCAGGTCTCTGAGGCTGTCACATGGGTGAGGGGCCAGCTCTCTTCCTCATCTGAAGGTGAGGCCCCCGGGTTGGCAGCATGACTGCTTTGGTCTACGACACCACAGCAGCCTATTAAGCTATGTGCCAAGATGGAACCGACCCCTAGCTGACTCTGCAGTGGGTTTGAGGCACTAAATCACACGGGAGGGAGTCTGCCCATGCTCATGGATTTGAACCATGTGCCTTTGGGACTGCATGGAGTTTCTTACCACTGGGTCACATTATTGTCGATTAGTGCCATCGAGTAGAATATGACCCACAGTAACCTTACCAAACAACAGGTCTGACCCGTCCTATCTTGTGCTATCATCACCATCTCTGACACTGAGCCCATTGCTGCAGTCACTGTATCAATCTACCTGGTTCAGTTTTATCATCGGTGCCTCCAAGCACCACTCTGGCTGCACTTTCTCCAAGACTTAGCCGTTTCTTCTTTCGCAGGCAGGCTATGGGATTCTCTTCCCCACCACCAGTTCAAAGGCATCAATTCTCTGTCCTTATTCACTACCCAGCTCCCAGCAATTGAAGAGACCATGGCCTGAATCAGGTGCACCTTAGTTTTCAAAGTAACTGACTTCCTTAATTATCCCCCCAAAAGGTAAACACTTCAGATAATTTTTTCTACCAAATGATACGTTGGTATGGTAACACTGTGGCTACACAGAGTGACAAAGGACCAGTGACTGGATTCACTTTGCCCGCGTGGGCTACCTGGCCGTTAGGATGGTAACAGCGGCTTGGGTTGGTCACGGGGCTGGCAGGGGACCCTGTTTCATCTCAGCCTCCAGCAGGGAGCTGGCCTTTCTGCTGTTGTTTTCCTCAGGCCCCACCCTGAACTTTTATTACACTCAGAGAGGGGAGTGACCTGTCCCCAGGGCCGCTGGGGCTGATGCAGCCGAGAACAGGGCACTCCCACCCACCCCCCAGCCAACTGTAGGCTCTGGCCTTTCATTCAAAATAGGCACAAGGAAAAGGACCTCAGGAAGCTCTCACGGCGGCAGTTCGGTGGCAATGGGCATGTCCTTCCCTTGCATGCCCCTTTCTACCCTTTTCCAAGTCATCCCACCACATAAGCAGCACCTACCATCACTAACCAACTTCCTGTGCCCTCTGATGGCCGCAGTTTCCACTCCTGAGGTCAAACGGTCTGTCCCCTCAGTGGATGCCTTCGGGGGGGGGTACTCTGAGTGACTAAGGAGAGGTCACTGGTTCACACCTACCAGCCACTCTGCAGGGAAAGGTGGGCTGTCTCCAAGATTTACAGCCGAGTCCCCGTGGAAGGCTGGGGACTGATTTGCTGGTAGTGGGGTTTTACTTTTTAAAATTTTATTTTTTCGTGTGTCTACCATCAAATCTATTAACAGTCTGTGTTATGCAGATGACACAACCCTGCTTGCTGAAACTGAGGATGACCTGAAGCGCTTGCTGCAGAGGTCAAGGACTACAGCCTTCAATATGGATTGAGGCTCAATGTCAAGAAGACAAAGATTCTCACCACTGGACCAACTGGCAGCATCAGGATGGATGGTGAAGAGATTGAGATTATTCACAGCTTTAGTTTGCTTGGCTCCACAGTCAACATTCTTGGGACCAGTAGCCAGGAAATTAAAAGACGTACAGTGATGGGAAAGTCTGCTGTTAGGGACCTCTCCAAAGTACTGAAGAGCAATGGTGTCTCCCTGGAGACTAAGGTGCGTCTGATACAGGACATGGTCTTTGCAATCACTTGTTATGCATCAGAGAGTTGGACAATGACTAATGACAGGAGAATTGATGCCTTTGAGCTGTGGTGCTGGAGAAGAGTATTGAGGGTACCATGGACTGCTAGGAAAACAGATTCATCCTGGGAAGGGTTGAACTGGGTAGCTCTTTGGAGGCAAGGATTCTGAGGCTCCATCTAACACACTTTGGACATGTTGTAAGGAGGGACCAGTCCTTGGAGAGGGACATCATGCTTAGGAGGGTGGAGGGACAGCGCAGGAGGGGAAGACCCTCTATGAGGTGGATCCAATGACTGGGGTAGTTGGGAGAGGTGTGTTGGGGTGCGACTGGCACAGGACAGAGCAGAGTTAAGGGCTGTTGTACATAGAGTCGCTATGAGTTGCAAGTGACTTGACAGGACGTAACCACCACCATCAAATCTGATCTGACTGGTACCGGAGATTGGCTTTCTCCAGCAGGGCACTGGTAGAGGGTCATACACTTGGGCTGCTGAACAAAAGGTTATCAGTTCGAGGCCAAATGGCTCCCAAGGAGAAGCAACCTGGCAGTCTGATCTCAGAGCAGCGGGGGTGAGTCCTAGTTGTTACACAGACCACCATGCACTAACGCACAACACTCCAGGGTGTGGATGGGAGGGACCACCTCTCACTGGGGCCTTGTAGGTGCCTGTGGATGTCACTGCAGTGAACACTGTACTGGCCGGGTTGTAACCCAGCTCTGAGTAGGGCAAGTGTTGAGGCCTGGTCCTGCCAGTTTGGTGTGGGTGAACCTCAGGACCAAGACACTGAACAAAAGCTAGTGACACAGAGAAAGCTCATTTACTGTGTCACCGATTTAAGATGGACGTATCGTGGTAAAAGTTGCTTGCCACGGAAGTTAGATTAAAACAGTATCCTCTGATGCTACTTATAGGAAATACCTGGAACAATACTAGACCAGCCTGTTTCTGGTGACAGAGCCAGAAGGGAGGAGTGCCAGAGGGGTGGATGACTTGGGGGGACTCCAGGGCCATGGGTCTGGGAGGGAGGGAAAGAGAAGCCATGGCTAAGGGGACTGTCTGTTCATGGCCATGGAATGATCTGGAAAAGGGGAGTGATGATGGATGTATGATGCCTGGAACCTCACTGTCAATGAATTCCATGGATGAAACGTTGGCAAATGTTTTATATTTCCACCAATAGAAAACCACAAAGTTTTGCTTCCGTGTGAACTGTCACCAATTATTCATGAAAAAAAAAAAAAAAGGCTGGAATGGTAAATGGTTTGTCCTCCCACAAACACACAAAAAAGTCTGCACCAGCAGTGCTTGAAATCAACGACCAGCACGTGCACGAAGCTTAATTAACACGCAATGCCAGGTGGGCTGGACTCTGGGCGAGCTCAGGTGCCAGCTTCCTGGTGGATTGATTTTATTGATTTACTTTTTGGGGGAGTTGTTAGGAGAAGGTGAGGAAGCCAGAATCAAGGGAAGCCCCCTCTGCCTCTGCCCCACAGAGTTCTGGAAGGCCGGGAACAGGTATTTCATCCCACTTCACTTGCAGGGAGGCTCCCTGGGTAACTCCCAGGTGGCCACCTGTAAAATTTTAGTAATGTAATTGATACGTGTACAGAGGTCGGTGGGAGGGCAAACACTGGGTAAGCTGGAGGAAGGGGTTACCAACTTGAACTGTTTTTGGTGTCAGCAGAATAATTTAGTAGGGTTTTCCTTAGAGGAAAAATTCAGCCGTTCCTACTGGACCACAAGCTGTAGGTTTCTGCTGTCAGAGAACCTTTCCTTCTACAGTATGTGACAGATAAATATCAGCCCATCACGCTGTCAGGAAGTAGAGGGGGACAGCTCACTGGGAGGGGGGAGGCCTCAGGCAGCCCTGCCCCCACTTCCACGGCCGAGCTCAGCAGTGGTCTCTGTGATCTGAGTCCACCTTGGCCGTGCTAAGTCTAGAATGGCAGGTTCGAGACCTCCCTCTCCTGTACATCCAGTACAGATGTCCACCTTGTGCACTGACAGGGACCGTCCTGACGGAGGCAGTAACCGAGAACACCCCATCTGCGGGTGGAGGTTTATCTCGAGGGGGTTTCGACCGCAGGCGTGGAAGCCCAGCGTTTCCTTTCCTCTGTGGGCCTCAGCTTGAGAGCGTGTGGACAGGAACCTCCCTGCCGGCACCAGGAGCCAGAGGCAGCACGTTAAACTACCAAGACTGGGCAGAGACAAGGGGTCCCCTCCTCACTGGGGTGCAGGGAGCCTGGACAGGAAGCCAGTCTGATGCTCTCTCCTGGTCAGAGCTGTGCTTGCCGGAAGCTTCTTAACCCGGGGCTGACCCTCGGGAAGCTGACCGCCAGGCCATCCTGAGTGGACATGAACCTCTAACCTTGTGAGGAGGGACAAGCTAGAGCCGAGCGTGAGGCGACCAAGCAGACAGACAGGACAAGAACGTGCTGTGCTTTTTCTTTCCCTTTTTTTTTAAACCTAGGGAAGCAGGTTCCGAGAAGACCCCAGCAGCGTTCCCTCCCTGCACTGAGAGGGCCCGAGGCGACGGGGTGGGCTCAGCGGCTTCGCTGAGGCTTCCGCAGGGGGCGCAGGGCCAGGAGGGGGGCGCAGGCAGGGACGGTGGCCCGGTCACACAGCGGTGCGCGTGGGTGTGCTGGGCTGGTTCAACCGCAGCGTTTTACACAACCAGCCTACAAAGTCCACTTCTTCCACCTCGGACCGCTTGATGAAGGTGTGGTTCTGGAAGGAAAGGGACAGGTGAGCGCGGGCCCATCTACGCAGAGGAAGGGGACACCCCCAGAGGATGTTCTGGATGGGGGAGACCACTGCAGACAGGGGAGGGGCTCTTGTTGGGCCGGCGCCGGAGGTGGTCCCCACACCTGAGTTAGGGCGTTGACCGCAGGAGTCCCTGGGCAGTGCTACCAGGGCGCTGAGCAGCGTTTCTGGTCTCTCCTGCTCCACACCAGAGCAAGCCCCCAGTCATGTCCATGAACGTCCCCGGACACCATCCAGTGACCCCTCGGGGATGAAGCCACTGCCCGATTGAGAACATTCTGCCGGGTGGGCTCTTGCCCCCACTGCCCCCCAAGGCAGCGACCTGCAGCGGGAAGTCACTGAGCCCTGAATCCTAACCGATGAAGCGGTCACCCCCTCCAGTTCCACACCTGGGCTCCTGACTTGGGGGGCAGTGGGGGCATGGGTGCTCCCATGACAGGCGGCTCGGCAGGATGAGACACCTGTGGGGGGCGGAGCTCAGAGTTCAGGGAGGGGGGTGTTCGGTCTCAGCCCTAAGAAAACAGAAGCTCAGAATTCCCATCCTCCATGTGGAGACCGTCGGTCAGTGAAGGCCTGTGTGTTGCTAAGAAGCCGAGGAGACTAGGAGGAAAGGCCTGGTGAGCAACTATTAAAGCTCAGCCAACAAATCCCGAGGGGAAGCTCAGTGGAGGAGAAGTCACAGCTGTGAAACGTGTTACAAATACAGACAGAAGCACGTGACGCTGAAACACGACTTTCCCTCTCAGACTGCAGAATCTGGGAAAGCCAGGAGGCTGTGCAGAGGGTGGGGGCCTGGGTGAGTGGCCTCCCTCAGAAAGCACTTGAAAGACGTATAAAAACCCCCAGAGCTGTGCTCCCAGGCCCTGCCCACTCCGGGCAAGGTGACCCCATGATGTCACTAAGGAGACATCACAACAGTGTGAGAATGACAACGGCCCCACTTGTCACAAGGGGCTAGACCGCAAAGGACAGAAGGAAGGAAAGGGCCAGACCAGGGCCGCCCAGCCCCTGAAGAGCAGGCTGCCCGGCTGCAGGACATCAGACCCGAGACCCAGGACGGCGCTGTGGTCAGAGACGCCATGTTAAGTGTACGGGTGGGGAGCAGAAAACCAAAACGTGACGGCCGCGGGGTCCATTCCTTGGGAAGCAGGGTCACTGGGAGCTAGGGCTTGCTAGGTGTCAGTTAACCATCTCCTCACCGGACTTTACGAGCCCACCCTGGCCTACAGGACAGCCTGTGAGGGCCTGTGCTCACACTGGGCCTGGGAGCGACCACCTCTGCTGGGTCGGGCCGAGCAGCCCCGATGGTGCCCAGCTGCGGGTAGAGTGGCTGCTAGCTGGTCCGGGTGCAAGAACCCGGTTCTGTGCTGCTCCACATGGAACCTACCCCCAACCCACGTCCCATCTATAAGCCTGGTGGGTGGGTGCTCTTTTAAGCCAGTCACCCCTGAGATACACAGAAGTTCAGAAGAGACAAAGCCCTTCCCCGAGAGACCAGAGACAGGGTCCCCCAGAGACACCCTCAATTCACACTGCAGCTCGAGAGCATGATGCTTCTGGTTACGGGGCCCCTCCTGACAGCCGTGCACACGGACAGTGGTGGAGAGGGGGCCGGGAGGGCGGATCTCCCACTCGGGGTTGCTGTGGACGCACGGGGGTGGGGGTGTGAGAGACACATGGGGTGTGTGTGGGGTATGTGTAGGACACGTGCGTGTGAGACACGTGGAGTGTGAGACACGTGGAATGTGTGTACATGTGTGACGTGGTGGGTGTGTGTGACATGCAGGGGTGTGTGTACGTGTGTGACGTGTGTTGTGTGCGACACGTGGGGTGTGTGTGACGTGTGTGGTAACTCTGTCACTAACAAGTCACTGATGAACTTGTAGCAGCAGGACGACTTGAACCTCAAGAGGGTCAGTGTTTCTACAAAGAAGCCGACAGATGTCCCCACCTTGTTGTTCTCTAGTGACCACAGTAAACAGGACACAGACCAGGGCAGGCTGGCAGCCACTGGACTAAGCAGGGTCTAAGAAAAGACAGGAAGTGCCTCTACGGAGAAGATCGCCAGTGCAAAGGTTCCGGAGCTGACTGCAGGAGAAGACTGGGCTGGGGAGGAATGGGGTGGTGGGAGCCAGAGGAGAGGCCCTGCTGACTGCAGAGGGGTGTGGGAACCCCCGATTGGCATGGCTTGTTTTTTAAAAACACCAGATTCCCAGACAGCACACTGCTGGCCGCCCCCCAACCTGCCAGAGAACCGGAGCAGTGCCCGGGGTCCCACACCAAGTCCCCCTTGTGCATAGGCTGCCCAAGGACCAGGGTGTCCTAGGCCTGACCAGATGTGGTGTCCAGCATGAAGAGACCTTGGCAGGTGGGTCCGAGGGGGCAGGGAGGCCCTGGGACACCCACCCCTGTGGGGACGTGGAGGCCCCCCCTGGGCACAGTGGGATTTCTAAGGCCTGCGGCCCACTCTCAGCTCCACTGCTAATGACCAGCTGCTCCCAGGGAGCCTGAGGGTCCCGGCTCTGGGGGAGGAGAGGGAGCCCAAGGCTGGCCCGCGCGGTCACTCACCATCAGCATTTTCAAGTCAGCACGTTCTGCCGGGTTCTTGATCAGGCTGGGGGTGGGCAAGGTGGGAAGGAGTGGTCAGTCAGTTATTACGGACACATCACCCAGCAGGGAAAGGGATGGAGGACAGGGTCTGGAAACAGGAAGCAAGGGAATGGGAAAAGGGTGGGCAATGCCCTCCCTGTCCAGCCAGCTGCCCAGGACCAGCCAAGCTGAACTGTGGGCACTGGCTACGCCAGAGCAACGCTTTCCAAGGGCAATGGAGCCACTGATGCCAAGGGGAAGACGTAAGATGAGGTGACTTCCAGTGAGCCACTGAGGGCCCTGCAGGAGACCAGTACTGTCCAGTCACCACAATGGTACCTGGACCCCAAGGGGCACTGGGGACGGTAGATGGCACCCTGGTCCCCGCATTGGCTCAGCACGACCTGTTTCAGAGCCAGGCCTCTATCCCGGGTGGGCAGAGAGGTCACAGGCCATGAGCCTTCCAGGCTGAGCAGGCTGGCTGAGCTCTGGGAGCAGGAAGGCCACCAGGGTCCACGCGGGGCGATGCTGGTAGAGCTGCTCACCATTTATTTACAAACTCCTGGAAGTCCTGGGTGAAGACGCCGTTGGGCAGCTTCGGGGGAGGCTGTGGGGAGAGACGGGAGGTCCATCTGAGTGAGGGTGGAACTAGGCGGAAGGCATTTCCTGGTCCTCTGCACGGCCTCCCCCAAGACCCCCGCCCAGCCCGCAGAAGCTGCAGTGACCTCGCAGGGCTGGCACTTCTCTTCAGTGGCCTTCCTGACTCTGCAGTCCACCCACTGTGGCAGATACTGTTCTAGAACCCTCCGTCCAGAGGGCTGGAGATGGGAGGGTCAAGGATGCCCAAAGGTGCATGGGAAGAAAGGCCTGGAGATCTCTGTGTCCAGGAACGCAAAGGCTGAAAGCCCTGTGAGGCCAGTCCAACTGACATGCAGGTCAGCTCAAGAAAGGTTAAAGGGCATGACCGAGCTCTGACCTAGGGTAGGCCTGTAGCGCCAGGTGACCACACTGTGGGCTGCAGCTGGTCACTGCTTCATGGAGTCCTGGGCCCCTGCGCTGAGGCACGGTCCGGACACAGGGAGAACAGTGCCCAATCATAAACCTCGCCTGTGCTCTCTGCTGCCCAGGTCTCCGGGCGGAACCTGCCCACTTGGCGTCTCTGCCCGGCGCAGGGGAGCAGCGTCACCAGAACCACAGAGTTCACCTCGTGACCCAGCCCTGGGCAACCTGGCTGCCCATCTCTCCTGCCTGACCTCAAGGGTCCTAGAAAACCCCCTGGGCCACTGAAGGCACGGGGATGCGGGAGGTGGGAGCCACGGCAAACCAAGCTGGGTCTGGATGGGGGACAGCGTCTCACTCCCACCCCTTGTCCAGCAGCGGGCGCCTTACTCAGCTAACCCATCTGTATGTGGGAAGGTGAGACCACCCCATTATACGGGGACCTGAGGTGAACCCACACAAGAGTCAGGGGCCTCAAGGTCTCGGTCGCCTGACAGGCGAGCTGCTCCCCTTCCCAGCAGCCCCAAAGCGCTCCCCGCATCTTGTGGGAAACTGATTATTCACAAGCTTGAGGGCAGAGACTCCAAGGTGCTCAGGAGCAGGCACGCACAGCCCCGGGCCTGGAGCGCGGGGACCCCTCCCCCGGGTGAGGAGTGGGCCGTGTGGGGCAGGGGAAAAGGGTGTCACCTCACTGCCTCCTGGGAGAACAGACCACCATGGTCTGGCCAGAACCACTGTGACCACGCATATGCTGTCCGCATGACATTTCCTGTGGACTGGGCTGCACCCCCTGAGGATACCCAGAATCCTAAAGCCGCGCCTGGGAATGGAACCCAGCCTGGACACAGGCGTGTCCACACTATGGCCAGAAGCCTGGTGGTATGGGAGTTAAGCTGCCTGGCCGCAGATAGAAAGGTGGCTGGTTCTGAACCACCCACCCACTCGCTCCTGTGGGTAAGCCTTGCTGTCTAGTCCCGGGAGCACAGCTTTGGAAGCTCTGTGGGAGTCCTACTCGGTCCTAAGGGTTGCTGTCACCTGACACCAATGGCCTTCGCCGTAGGTCAATGAGGTCATGCAGTGTGGCTGTTGTCACCAGGGGTCTCTGAGCTGGCTGGCTGCCAGCAACCCTGTGTACAACACAGAAAACCCGGCCAGACCCTGTCCTTCCTCACCACCTGGGCTGCTTGTACCTGTCACCCACTCTGTCAGTCCATCTCCCTGGGGGCTCCTCTTTCCCTGACTGGACTCCACCCAGCATGGCTTCTGGCAAGCACTGGCCCCACACCTTGTTCGAGGCAGATGTCCACCACCCTCGCCTGAGCAGCTCTGTCCGCCCTGCTTCCCCAGAGTGGAGAGTGGGTCCCACAGCCAATGCCTTGTGTGTGCGTCACACAGAGCAGAACAGGCCCAGAGACACACGCCAGGGGGACCCGACTCCAGGCCCAGGGAGGCTGATGCTGGTGGGCGGCTACCAGGAGCGGAGAGAGACGGCCCACTCACCCTCACGGACAGACAGACACGAGTGTAATCTGAACAGCACCCTGAACTCAGGCTCCAACCTCTGGAACTGTGACGTCACCCACCAGTGTGTGTGTCCGTGTTTGTGGAGTGTGTGTATGTGACAGACAGACACACAGAGCGGCACAGGTCACAGAGCTGGCCCTCGAGCAGCACACCGGCCTCACTGGGCCTAACGGAGGGCGGAGACTCGGCACTGACCTCATTCACAATGTAGTCCAGCAGTTCAAAGATGGCCATGGCGGGCCGGCTGTCCATGCCGTGACCTGCGGGGACAAGCACACACACAGTGGGTGCCCATCACGGGGGAGTGGCGGGAAGTTGGGGCACACAATGGACAGCAATCAGCCCGGAAGAGGAATGAGGTTCTGCGACATGCCACTCAGATGGGCGTGACCACGTCACGGGACAGAGAAGTCAGCCACAGGGCCTGTCAGTCCCACCCCACCTGCAGCAGAGTTCCGGAGCAGGCGAGGCAGAGACCTGAGGGGTCTGTGGATCCGGGTCAGGGTGGTGGGAAGGGAGGACCGGGCTCAACAGCAGGACAGAGTCACTACAGCGAGGGCAGGAAGTGGCCAAGGTGTCACACACCATGGCCCATTACAAACGGGGACAAACGAGTGATTTGCTCATCCATGAACCACCTGCACAGGTAAGTGCAGACCAGAAGGTGGGGGAGGCACAAGGCGGGAAGACGCTCAGAAACAGGCGACGGCAGCACATGACGTCATGACCGTCACTAAACTTTAAAGACAGTCAGCTTGTAGCAAAGCCGCACTATAGACACTCCGGGGCTCCACAACCGGCTCAGTGAGCTGGCAGGTACTGGACACGCGGCTGCCCACACCCTTCCCGACGGTTCTACACGGCAGCACAACTCACAACAAATCAGCGTCGGAGTCGAGGACAGCGACAGGACAGTGCTGCTCAGTCGCCCCCACCCCACGGGGAGCAGGTGACCCTTGAACGCCGTTTCTCTCAAGTCTGTGGTGACTTGAAAATTTGGTGCCACTTCACACACAGGCATCTGAAAGTGGCCTCTCCAGGGGCCTGACCACCGATGTGCCCAGATCTGAACTCCTGCTCCTTGGTCAGCAAGTCTGCTTGGAGAGGGGGGACTGTTAAGACAGGAGTGACCTTGTGTGGAGCCACTGGTAGTGACAGCAGAGGCCTCAAATGCCATTGTGGGCTGATGGCTAGCCCGGGGGTTGCTGACCCATCCTTGTCCAGTTCGGAGTTGGCAGCTGACTTTCGTCCCCTGCACCAAGATGGGCATGCGGCCGGGGTCAGTGGAGGGTGGCTGGGCGGCTAGGCAGGTCCCTGGTCCCTCCCCCCCGGCAAGTCCTCTACCAGGGGACAGAACCAAAGCCAGGACGGGGGACAAAATGCAGTGGGACTGAGTGTCTGGGGGATGCCCCAAGCAGCCTGGCTGCCACATGGGGTGAGGGAGGAGGCTCAGGCTTGAAAGTCATGGGACGGGGCACAGATTTGGGGACAGAGCAGAGGAGTGGTGTCCAGGACTTGTGGCTGTGGAGAAAGGAATGTTCTGGAAGTAGAAAGGTGACCAGGAGGGCCATACGAGCTAGCGGACACAGCATAAGCTGGTGCCAACACCAGGAATCCCTTCTGCCAGTGGGCAATGTGAACTACACTCCAGTAAAGCGGCTCTCAAACTGCCTGGTGACCACTTGGTCCTCCAGGCTCTGGTTTAACGAGATCCACTTCCTGTCGCCCGACTAAAAATAAGCCTCTGTCCTCTCGACATCACCCCCCTCAAGCGCCGCAGCCTGCCCGTCTCTGGGCGGCTGCTCTGAGTGCCTCCGAGGCGCTGGCCCCTCACCGTGCTTTCAGTGCAGGTGTGGGCAGGGCCCTAAGGCCCTCAAGGCAAGGCTGCAGCCCCTCCCCAGCTTCAGAGCGGCACACAGGCCTGTGCTCATGGCAGAGCCCAAGTGGTGGCCAGCACCCTCACGGGGCGAGGCTTTGGACTTTTCTGTTGGTTTGAACACTTCCATGACAAAATGTGGGAAAAGCAGCCAGCCTTGGCCCGGCCCAGCAGCCTGCTTCCGGATCCTTCCATCTGGCAGCAACAGGTGCGGCCGCCAGCACGGACTGGCCGCAGTGTTGTCGCGGCCCTGGACAGAGGACGGCTGAGTGCACAGCTCCACCCGGGACAGGTGGTGCTGACAGGGGCCAGGGAGGCAGCTGCTGTCCCCGGCAGAGGTCACCACCCTCCCAGAGCAGAGGCCCAGAGCCAGGACGTACCACTGATGGGGCGTCCAGGGGGCCGGGGCCTTGGTGAGATGCTGTGGGGTTCACCCTCGGCCCCGTCGACCACGGGCCGACCGAAGATGGCCTCTAGCTCCTTGGCGTCGGGCGGGGGGATGGGGTACCTCCCGATGGACAGTTCCACCAGCGACAGGCCCATGCTCCAGATGTCCGACTGCACCGAGTAGTGGGTGCCCTGCAGGCGCTCCGGCTGGCGGGAGACAGAGGCGCTGGGCGCGAGGGGTCATGGTGGCACTGGGCCAGCCCTGTGTGCTGCTGCTCCCGCCCGGGGAGACGACACGTGGAGGGGATGAGCTGATGCTGAGATGCTGACCGCAGCTGCGTGCTCAGAGATGGGGCAGGGGCTGCCAGCCCGAGCGGCCGGGACCGCCTCCTTGTTCCCCACCACCTGGACATCCTCGTTAGCCCTGTTTAGGGGACTCTCCTGGCAGCCCCTGGACAGTCAACCGAAAACCCAGATTGAACTGCTGTTCCGGGAACCTCGCAGGACTCGCCGCGTTTAGTGGCCGACTGTGCAGGCCAGCAGGCTTTTCTGCCTCAGTGCCTCTGGGAGATTCAACCCCCCAAACTTTAGTTAGCAGCTGAATGTGCCACAGACAGACTGCTCTCCAGTGTTCTGAATGTCAGGGTTCCAAAACTAACTGTTGGTGCTGGGTGCCACTGAGCGGACCCCAAGTGACAGAGCAGAACGGACTACCAGGTCTTTCCTTCCCAAAGCTGTTGGGTGGCTTTGAATTGCTTATCTTTGGTTGGCAACTAAATGCTTATCAATCGTACCTAACTTATCAATCGTACCCTAAGGACTCCTTCCAGTATTAACTGACAATGCACCACCTACAGAAAGAGCTTGCTGGGCCTCTGCAGAGAGGAGGTGAGGGGGTCAGAGTCCAGAAGGAAGGGGGTCCCAGCAGGGACAGAGAGACAAGACTCAAAGGGGGCGCTAGCCAGGGGCTTGCTGGAGATGAGAACTGGTGGCACAGGGCAGTGTGGCACTGCACAGCCAGGGGGTCCTACCGACATGTAGGAGCGTGTCCCCACGAAGGAGTTGGCCATGGAGTCAATGAGCTGGCCGCTGACCCCGAAGTCACACAGCTTGATCTCTCCCCGTG